AAGGGATGCACAACCTTTGAGGTCGGCGATCAAGTAAAATGTAGAGAAAGAAAGTATGCGGTTTGATGTGGGCCAGGTTCACGGAGACTCCTTTTGAAGTGGGAAGGACCATACACTGTCACCGAGAAACGTGGCCCCATTTATACCATCAAAAGAGGAAATAAGCAGAAACGGGTTAACATCAGCCAACTGCCGAAATGGATTCAGTAGGATAAAGAAGCCGGAACCAAGATGCAACAGGGACGAGTAGAACCAAGAAGGTAGGAGCGGCTCCATTCAAAACTATTTGATAGGGGGGGGCGAGTGTGGCGTGTGCTACTGATAAGATTTATCAGTAGTATATAAGGAAACGTTCATCAGAATAAACATGAAATACAGGGAGAGATTTGATGTTAGAGGAAGCAAATGATTCAGCGTTGCGGAGATACATAGTAGACATTAAAGAACACGAAGAAACACAATATGAAGGCCATAAATAGCACAACATGTAAGATCTGCGCAAATGTGATTTGTAATAAGGTGTACGTAATTTGGCATAAAGATACCAGTTCCTAAACATTTCGTTACCAAGTCTCTCTTCTTCTACCTTAACACTTTCACTCATACCAAATTAAGTGATAACTCAAAACACGAGAGATTTGTGATGGAATTAGTTGAGTTGAAACAAGTAGGCGGGAAAAACAAAAAGTTAAGAGGTCAATTTACTATAAATCGGAATATATTTACATTGACAAAGGGAGACTTTCTTATAAATATGGATCTGGTCGAAATGTTTTGCAATAATCGCTTCCTTGAGAAGCATTAATCTGACATTTTCAGCCTGCCTAATGACCTAAAGCAGCTAGAGACGTCGGTAAGGTGTCTTCTATCCATAAGCTATTTATTAATTACATTGTTGAGATGCTTGTCTCCTTTTCAACATACAATATAATCCACTAAGCGAATGGGAGTACTTTTTTCAGTTATTTCATTCCATATACTACCCGATTGACTTTCAAATTCATAAACTTGACTGCAGCCGATAAAGTGTTCAGCTTTTCTGTTTCGGTGCACTGTGCTGTAATGCTGTCCACTGATATATATATATATATATATATATATATAGAGAGAGAGAGAGAGCTGTGGTTTGATATTTGTGCAGATTTTCAGAGATGCAACGTTTCTTTACTTCAAGATGAATCTCTTGGAATACCTTAAGATACTCTGAGACACCTTTTGGATACGACACGCGAGCAAATGGTAGTGTTAACAATTTGTCTATAAAGCTGGCAACTGAATTGAGAGCTAAACACCCTTTTCCCAGCAAGAAGTAGCTAGATGCCTACAGTAACCTTCAGTTCATTATTTTGTTCTGATTATAGTCTTTTCCATTTTCTCGGTGCTTTAAAGTGCATAAATTCCCACTGTTATAACTCTTATCAAAGTTTACTTCCTTTTATAAGCTCTTGTGTCTGCTGGCAGAATAGTCAATTTAAAAGAGGTGAATTAATTATGATGATGTCATATTCGTAGCATCTTCTGTTTATCCAGTGGTTCTCTTATCCATCAGCTTTTTGTATCTTGAAATGGTAATACAAATAGGACTATTTATGGTAAATTATCCACCTGATCTTGGTGTACTCCCAACAGAAATTATTCATTACAGAACTTGAATTGTGCTCTCAGATTTGGAATTTTCACAGCTATAGAGTCTTGCTTAAATAACTAAGTTATGCAGTCGCATATTAAGCTATCAGATTCATCTGTAAGTAGAAAGAATTTATTATACTACAAAAGAAATATAACTTTCACAATGATCACTGCTTGGATTGAATTTAACGCAGTGACTACATAATGAAACTCTGGCCTCAAAACCAAACACACGTTCTGTATTAGTCATATGGTATTTGAAGTAGGTTATTTAGAGGTCTCAAACTAACAAGAAGTAGCTTTCCAAGACTCGTCAATTTAAAATGGACCTGAAGCTAATGTTATTTCGTATGAAGAGTTATTTGACAATGACAATTGGCAGAAAATGGGGAAGTTTTGATGAACCACTTCACTAATATTATATTATGGCTTTTCAAGCTCGGGATTTTTACGAAACATCTCAACAAATCAATCTATAAATTCAACCTAGTTCTGTTTCATGGGCAGCCGCAAATAAGCTTGCATTTTCTCTAATATGTCGAGAGCAATTTTGAGCCCTATGAAAAATTCCGAACGGTTAAGTACCCAACGACACCATATAAGCAATAATTCAGCTGTAGCTTTTTTTAAAAACACAAAAGATTGAGCGAAGAAATATTTACTTTTCAATTAGATCCTCTTCTCTGGCTCTACTCTAATATATATAGCATTTTTACAATACACAACAATTTACCAAACAAGTGGTGATATGTTTGTTAACAATATTTAAACAGTGTCGAAATGTCAATGGGTAGATAACTAACGCAGAAAATCAATACACATTTAAAAAGTAGAAATGGATAGAATAAATTAATTTTACAAGAATAACACGTAATTAGAGATGAAGCGGTCAAAATAAAAATAAAATAAAATAATTTGGACAATTATAATTTAATAGAGGGAGGGGGGCGACGTAGTCCTGTCTTGTAAGGATGGCCACGGTAAGCAAAGTGGCTGTACAAATTTCTTCTGTACACATAGGCTTGGCTTCTTAAGGTGGATTCCGATTGCTTCTGCTGTCTGTAGAAGACGAACTCTTAGAGCAAAGTTGAGATTAGTCGGAATGCGATAAATGATTTTGATAGCAGTATTCACATCAACCTTGTGCTCGGTATCAACAAGATGTGCTAAAATAGAACTCCGAATAGATTTTGTTTGTCCCTTGCTTAACCACGCTGGATGATGTTCAGAAATACGACGTTGAAACTGCCTAATTGTACGCCCAATGTAGCTGGCTCCGCAGCTGCAGTCAAACTGGTAGACACACATAGAAGAGGCAAAATTAGGTAGTTTGTCCTTATTTCTTGAACATAGAATAGGGGTGGTTTTGAAGAGACAACGTACTTTTTAAAAACAAAAACTTCAGTTTTAATTACAAAACAACTTTGGCTCCTTGAAAAACAGCTTCAAATGAATAAATGTCTTAAATTATGGATGTGAATTAATATCACTATAGAAGTAGATCATGGTTCATTGGAATTCCAGTTCAAGTGGTTGAATGTTCAGCGAGCTTGTCCCTGTAACCTCAAGGTTATGGGTTCGATCTCTAGGGGAATAGCGAGTAAGCACTATTGAAGAGTCCATAACTAGGATGAAACAGCGCTCCTGACTTTCAGGGGTCTTTAACTGGTACTGGTTTCTGATGAAATCTACACTTAAGTATACTTACAATCCACCGCAGAATACTCAGTACTTTGCGAGCAATGGCAAATTCTCGGCTTTTGACAGAAACAGTCTTTAAGAAATTAAGTAATATGTGGAAAACTTTTCAGCTTCTTAATCCAAACATAACTTCATCGCTTTTGTAATTTCACGGGTGAAGTTACCATTGTCTTTTACTGAATATATTCCACTTTCTTACTTTGTAGCATTTTTTTTCAACTTATAATCATTAGGCTCCGACAGATGCATTGATTAGTCTTCTGTAATTAAATCTAAACCTTTAAATTTATGCGATAGGTTCCACTAATCTTGATTTTTTTTCTGTATGCTCCCAATGTGAAGCAGTTGAGTGAATCAGTTTCTGCATGATTATTATTCTGTTTATAATGCACAACGAACTTTTGCTTTCAAACAGTGAGTCATTTGGTGTTTTTGTTGCAAAATTTCTAAGTTGGCTTGTTTCACGCAGTGTACGCCACCACCGCATTTTCTGTCTACTAGTGAGACTGTGGATATCCATAAAATGCCCGAAATGTTAGTGAATGAAGAACATTAATGCTGACAAAGCGATATACTCCAAGATTCAACATTCAACAATTTTTGTTTCATTCTTTTGTGTACCGAGTAGATCATAGGACTTCTTCAAGCTGTTTTTGAAGATTCAGTAACGGTGTTGTTTTTATGCAATAGGGTTTATGGCCTCATACCCATTCATTGACTGGGGATTGAACCTTGACCGCTTTTCTGGCCGGTGAGAATTTTACCATTGAATCACCGATTCACAAACAACACACAATCTACGATAAATCAGTTTTAAAAACTGAATCATTGAAGGTGAATTTTTTTATGGCGATTTTCAACGCTACGTATGAAGTTATCTTCTAGCGAATACGCCTCTTCCTAAGATAATATGGAAATGATTATTTTAGATTTAGCTATATATAGACCTTCAGATTCGATTCCGATGCACATCTAGTCAATAACTGATATTAGCTAAAATAGCTGTCAGATAGTTTGCAACTGGTGGCATGTTTCGAATTTTACGCTGAGTTAAACCTGATGCATCGCAGATGAGCTTGGCCCCAGGCGATCGATATGTCCATCCGATGTCTAGGTTGATCCGATATGGCTAGCAGACATTACTGGTTGATGTGAGCACTATCCAACCACCCATCTCAATCAGTCAATGGTAGACAGCATTTTACGCATTTATGGTGTCATGTTCATTTCGCATAATGCACCTTGAAACCAACCAATTCCGCACGAAGCTCACAAACGCATACTTAGACCAGTTGCTTATTTACTTAGCGTAGACTGATATATGATTTCCGATCGATTAATTAATACGACCCGTTGCACAAAAGGTGGCTCTCGTGACGCAAGTGGTCTAGTGGATAACGCCTTGGCGTTCGAAACTATGGGCACTGGGTTCGAGCCTCGGTGGGAACATCATCACTCACTGCGGAATGCAGGTACATCCAGCTAACGAGTCCCAAATAGGACGAAATGCGCTTTATCCTGGATTCCACTGTTAGTCACCATCTACCAATTAACTGATGTATGATTTTCCTAGTTTAAGATTTAGTAAAATAACCGAATACAAAATGAACAAGCATTATTCAGTGAATATTATCTTTTCTTTATCGAATAATGACAGAAATATAAATGTAGGAAATAGTTAAGTTGGGAATGTATCTCATTAACATCATATGAATCTAATTCATTTCAGGAATTTTTTCTTTTCAATACAAAAACTGTACTAATTTATCAAAACAAAAACAAAACCCAAAACATCTGTGTAACAACAGAATTCAGGTTGTAAATTTATACGCGGACTAATAGTGAAGAAGAAGAAGAAAGAGGTTGTCATTGGGAGGGAGACTTGGGCATTAGAGAGTTATTTCGTCAGAAAGCGAACGATGCTGTAGGATAATTGTAGAAAAATATATGTATTCATAATTGAGCATTATCACATTCTCCGTCATCTATAGTTTTTATTCCCGTCTAATTTATCAAAGGTGTGGTGATGGAGACAGAAACTAGAAAAGAAAAAATGATGCAAAAGAAAGTAGATGGGAAATGTAAACAGACATTTCTCTCTCCAAAATATTCGAAGGGAAGAACAGGACACCGTGGGCAGATGAACCGCTTCGTTGGTGATTACGATGAAACTGAGGAGGTTTTGTGTTTGTGGAAAAAAAAGACTATGGCGGGCTCAATTTACATCACCGAATAAGTTCTCTTGGAGTTAGATTTCCTTGTTATTAAATGAAACGTTTTGCGGTACCGTTGAACCAAGTAACTACTACAGATTATGCTTCGAAGCTATTTTTTTAAGAAAAATTGACGGAAACAACAATTTTTTGTAACGGTACAGTTGAAAAAAACTCAATTATAGAAAAAGAAAAACCAAGGAGACAAGAGTAACGGAATTTCCGAGAAAGACTAGAACAGAAACATTCAGTGGAAACTGAACTACAGGGGAAAACAAGAAAGAAAGAAAGGAGTTATGCTTGATATTCATCTATGAACGACAGTATTTATACCGATGATTTATGTGCTGTGAATATGATCCAGAATGACTAAATCGTTTACCGCATTTTTGGCATTCGAACGGCTTTTCACCTGTATGCAAACGCTTGTGCTCTGTCAAATGATGTTTGTGTTTAAACGCTTTTAGACAAGTGCGGCAGGAAAATGGACGAAGACCTAAACAATTTCATAAATAAAAAAAAGAAGAATAACATACATAAGCATATACATTTATATATACGTATTGTTAATTCAAAATGGATCATGACTGAATAGACATATCATTTAACTGCATGGCTTGTAAGTAGGCAGTATATTTAGCCAATTACAATATGAATGAACTGTAGTTTGGAGCTTAATAAATCATAACCTAAAAAACGAGATTTTCGCTTTAAGAAAACCATGATATTTATTGATTGTCGTACTGAATTGGTAGACTTGCAGGCGAAAATCAACAAACTAGCTGAAGAAGTGGCCAGAGAATACAGGACTCCATGTGAACATAGAGAAGACGGAGGTGATGAAGATAACTAGTTCACAGCGACAACGAACTGCACCAGTCACTATCAACGGGAGAAATTTAAAAGAGGTAACTTCATTCAATTATCTACGAAGCACTGTTTCAACCACAAGCGGACGACACGGATGAAGATATTAAAGCCAGAAGTGGAAAGGCAAGATACGCCTCCATAAATCTGAAATCAATTTGAAAGTCTTCTGAACTCACTCAACAGAAACAACAAGACTCGGATTATGTTCAACACAAATGTCAAGTCAGTCAGTCAGTCAGTTAGTGTTTTCATATGGGTCACAAACTTGGCGCCAGCGTGTAACGGAAAGCATTTCCAACAGGCTAATGTAGACTTTGATCAACAGCTGCCCACTTCGCTGTCTGGTTCCATAGTGAAGATCAAATAGCCGACCGGCTGGCCAGAAAGAATTAGCAACAAGAAACTCTGTAGTGGAACAAACTAACCAAGAACATATTGCTCAAGAAATGTGTAGGAGGAAATTGAGGTGGATTGGGCATACATAGAGGAGGCCGTCAAATGACATCGTGCACCAGATCATTGCTCGAATGGAACCCGAATGGGAAGCGACGAGTGGGTGGTCGGTACGAGGGTGACATGGAGGAGATAGTGTGTGGAGAAGGAGATAAGAGATTATGGGCAATCGTGGACCCAGCTGAAGAGGACGGCAGAAAACAGAACAAAGTGGAGATGTGTTCTACTCGGAATCCAAGAGAGTAATAATATAAATAATAATATTTCATGCTACACGATAATGAGCTTTGAAAAAGTTTTTGCCTCACGGTAGTAGATTTTATATGTTACTGAAATGAAGTGAAATTATTCAGCCAGGCAATCTAGTATTCATATAAAAGTGTCAATAACATAGGCGTAATATGGTATCATTGGGAGGAAAGAGATAGAATACATTCATGACTGGAATTTTGATCGGTAATGCGTCCTATATACTATAAGACAGTGAAGATATTTCCTACGATATGACTGACTCTCGTCCCAGTAGTCTTCAGCCTCCAACTACTGATTGAGAAAATCTGAAAGAAACTAGACAGAAACTGTACACAGCATGAACTGATTGCCAGGTGGTAAGCGATGTAGCCTGGTTGGAATCTATTTACTGAAAGTGGCACAACACTACAGTGCATTGAGAGGCACTTATTTGTTAGATGTTACAAATAGCAGTAATGGCTGAAACCATCAAACGTCAGGAAGTCCTGAATCCAGATTTTACATGTATTAGCAATAATTATGAAGTTATTTATACATGCGAAATTCGAAATTCTAATCTGAGTGACTCAATGTCCAATTCAGTGAGACCACTTGAATAACTTATATGTAAGTCCGTTGACTTCATTCTGATGAATGGCAATAAATATGAAACATGTGACCATGATTTCCTACAGAAGGATGTTTTCCAACATTTGACATTAGATTTCACCTCCTTCCATAACTCACTAACTTCATGGGCTTACCTAATGTGTAATGCCAACAATATACGCCATTCTTTCTTGAAATACTAATGATTTAGCATTTGTAATAGATGCTCTACTTATCTCAAAACGTGAGTCTTTATAACCCTATCATAGACCCAGGTTTAAAGATTACGTAAAATGCTAAACCTTGATGCATACCTCTAAACTTTAATATCACATCAGTAATATAGTCAAGATGAGAGTGATCGAACCATCAAAAGTAACTGTGTTTTAGAATATTTGTCATAGTTACTAAGTAACATTTAATGCAGTGATTATGGCTATGGTCATATTTTCAATGATTAAACATCCTAAATGGTAACTGACTGAAACAGTTACTAATTTCAGTATTTAGAAGAGGAAAATGGTGAAGAGGTGTTCGGTGTGTGAACCCCTGGGGAGTCCGTAAGTAAGATGCACATTTCCTTGTCTTTTTGATTAGCTATGTAGGAAGTGTTTCTGGTCCGAAAATTAAGTCGGACTACCCTCTTAGATGATTATAATGATATCGGCTAAATGTGCTTCCATTTTCAAGTTAAACTTTTCTAAATTTATCAAGTTAGTCGCTTCACAGTATGGTTTTAAATATGAGTAGATTATTTGTGAAACTTCAAAATATTTTATCGCTATTTGGGATTGTTTCAGGCATGAAGAAGGTATTCTGACTGACTAAGTTTAGATGTGGGACTTTGCACAGAAGTGGAGCATTTTAAATTTCCCCACACCCTACAACATAAGCGTAGAAAAGCTTTGCGCTGAGTTTTAATTGAGAAAAGTTAATCTACCGATGAACTGACTATATATTTTTGACGAGTGAAATTTTGTGGCTTGTGATTTGAACAATGACGTATTCATTACTGTTGTGAGGCCGATTAAAAGAAATGTAAGGAGACGTCAGTTCACTAATCTAGACTTCTAGTCTGGGTTGTAAAGTGGAGTGTTATCCCTTTTGGTTAATACTCACAACACAAATGAAATCGATATTTCACTTAATGTTTTCGTCAAACAAAAACATGGCATCAGTCATCGGAATCCATAACAGTCAGTTTAAGCCACTTAGGGAGGTGTAGTTTGTCTCCTCAGTGTGTACCCAATCCATCTACACTAACTGCTGCATATTTGTTGAACCATGGGTTCTTGGTTAGTTTGTTCCACTACAGAGTTTCTTGTCGCTAATTCCTTCTGGCTATCCGATCGGCCATTTGATCTTCACTATGGAGCCTTACATGGAAGTGGGTAACTGTTGATCAAAGTCTGCATTAGCCTGTTGGAAATGCTTTCCGCGACACGCTGGCGCCAAGTTTGTGACCCATATGGAAACACTAACTGACTGACTGACTTGACATTTGTGTTGAACAGAATCCGAATCTTGTTGTTTATGCTGAGTGAGTTCAGAAGACTTTCACACTGATTTCAGATTTATGGAGGCGTATGTTGCCTTTCCTTTCTGGCTTTGTGGTTGAAGTTTCGGTAGCAGTTTGATTGGTTTTGTGGGATAGGTTCGCTCGCCGCATATCCAACCTTCCCTCTCTACCCTAACTTGGGACAGGCTAGAAAGCTAGTGAGCTGGTAAACTAGGTGAGGTTAGCATGAAATCTTACTCTATGCTAAATGTTCTTTGGCGTCGATGGTTCAAAGCTTGAATGCTGCCTAAAAGCGCACATATTTCGGAGTTCGATTCCTGGCCGACGCATTCCTAAACCTTGCCAAACCAGTAGTAACTCTGTTCTAAAGGGAAGGTTAGGCATAAGGCTAACGACTTCTGCCATCAAACATCGAAACTTCAAAGCTTGAAGCCTTATGTTCCACTCGGAAAGCGAAGGGATGAAAATAAGTGTTCTTCGGAGTTCATGAAAAATAGTTCCACAGTCAGCATATTTTTAAAAATACTAAAACATTCTAGAGATATAAATTGCCAACTCTTGCTAAGAGTATATATATATAAAGCAATGTGTACTGATGTAGTGCCTAAGGAAATTCTTATTGAAAACAATGTTACGTGTCATTATTTTAAAGTAAATTTGTTAATTAGGTCACTCAATCAAGAGTTTAACTCAAGTAAAAATGACCACAATCAATAATTACATTCACTTATTGAGATCCTTTTCAATTCATTACCTTCGCATAACTCTAACCATATGGTATTAGTCAGTTATCTTTGAATTTTCTTTTTTTATAACAAAGACGGGATGAAAAGTTCTAATCGTCTCAACTTCATAAGCAAATTATAATTTTTTGAAAAATTATTGACAAGATACGAAGCTAATTTGCTTTGGGCTAACCATTAGGATAAGTGTTGTTCTTGTTCAGTTATTCAAACATTTTCTTAAATTTAGCAGCTGAATTGGTAGGGGAAAAGCAAATGTGCAAACTGCAGAGAACTGATAAAAATCCTACCGCTACAGTAATATCTCACTTTTGACATTCACTGGAGGGGTGGGCTTGCAATCAGTTAATTTATCTTTCAGGATTTCACCATGAGCTGACATTATTTAGAGAACCATTGGAAAACCTGCAGGGAGTACTGGACATCTGTTTCATCCTAGTTTGGGACTCTTCAGCAGTACGCGCCCACTGTGATTCGAACCCAGGACCTTCTGGTTAGAAGGCGAGCTCGTAGACTGTTAAGCCACTGGGACTCGATCCGATGACCAGCCCATGAATTCTAACTTCTGCCAATTCACGACATAGCGCGACTCCTAGCCAATATCTTCGGCGAGTATTTATCCTCACACCCAACCTGCTGCATCCTACTGGTCACGACTTCTCATCAAATTGAAACTGAGTCAGGACTGGTTGAATTTGTTTTGTATCCAATACTCAGTTGTATATCTTCTATCTATTGGTTAGTCAGTATGCAGGTGGATCTTAAACAATTGCCTATTACAGGCAACTTCTCTAGGTTCAGAGTACAGTTTTCATATAATCGGTGGTCATATATTACACAAATTTCCATCAAACTGAGGTATATGTCGGAAAATAAGTTTGTTAAAATAGAGCCTAGCACAAAGCCATAATTATTCTGTATAATGAAGTTCAAGTAATAATATATGTATAAAACTTGGGCACTGTGGTAGTAAGTAATTCCATATTAGTTTGATTATTTTTTTTTATTACAGCTTGATGCCACACCGTATTTTTAGGTACAGGTATGGAATTTTCAGCATGGATATCGGAAGCCCAAATTTTGCAGGCCAACCATAGATATCGGGTGTGCACCGGCAGGGGATCGAACCCCGGACCATGTGCATGGTCGGCGAGAGTCCTAACCACTGTGCCACCGACAAACAGAATTCAGTCGATTGTTAGTAAAAATTAAACATCCAAAATTATTTAGTTCAATTTTAGATTTTCCCGACGATTGATTGGGCCGAGGTGCTCGGTCTCAGGTTGACATGACATTGCACAAGAGGTGGCTCTCGTGGCTCAATTGGTCAAGGGAATAACGCTTTGGCGTTTGCAACTATGGACACTGGGTTCGAGCCTCGGTGGCAACATCATCACTAGCTGGTACATCCAGATGATGAGTCCCAAATAAGACGAAATGCGCTTTATCCTGGATTCCACTGTTAATCACTACCCACCAATTAACTTCTAAACATCCAAAAGGCTGAAACACACAAACTGAATCTTGAAATCCAGTTAAAGAATTAACTTGACTTTAAACCACTTAAGATGTAAATGAAAGTGCCAGAAAATGTAATCAACACATAAAACTTTACAAACGCTACTATCACCTTGGTGACAAATATTTTGCCAGCTAGAAGACACAAAGATTATAGATACGAAAAGGTCATCAAAGGAAATTTTGTGCTTTCTTACTTTGAGAGTTTGTTATTACTTCCCTGTCATCATGTTTAAGTTACTTTTATTTGATCCTGGAAACAAGCGAGAGAAACAAAAATTCACTATGACAAAGTGGACAGGTGATGAATTGAGGTGAAATTGTAGTCAGTAATAGTGTGATTGGCAAAAGCGTTACTCTTAACTGTTTCAGTCAGTCTTCTTAATTCTCCAGAAACACTTAGTGAATATGCAGGGGAAAATAAATAATGTGCAAACATTGTTATAATGTCTATGGCATCATTATGCATCAGTTAAAGATTGGATTTTAAGTGAAATATCGTGTGTGTGTTTTTTCACTTACTACTAGTCTCCCCGAAACATGTTATGCATACAATATCAGTTACCAGGGAAGCAGTTGTGGGGAATCAATCGAAAAGTGTAGTCATAAGAGCTTCATCATGTTCCGAAAACAAAAAAGAATTAACCAGCATTATTTTATTTAACTTGATAAACATTGTTTCATTGTAGTGTCTTTTCAAGTAGATAAGTGGGAAAGACCTATCTTCTTCACTTAATCTCAAGGTGACTCTCAGTGCAAGTAGTAATCGGATTTAAATAAGACAATTGTGGGCTGTTAATTCGAAATGTAATGGTTGCTTCTAGACATGGGATGTTATAAGTTGTCTGGACAAAAATTGAAGTAAAATGAGATATTCATCAAACCGAGAAAACAAAAACTGTAGATTTTGATTTTGTGAAGATTTAATTGCTTGTTAAGTGAATTAACACCCCACCTCACCCCCGAAAAGTGAATGGTTGAAGATCAAGGGATGCTGAGCGACATTTTTTTTAACGTAGTTTGAAGCCATCCATACATCGAACTCAGAACTGGAAAATTGATAAGTATTGGGAATCACCGGTCAGTGAATTAAATTCCTTATGAAAGGTTTTTGGATACACACTTCCGAGAAGTCCCCAAACTAGGAGTAAACAACCATCTAATCCTCTCTGGTTTTCAATGCCTGGATAAATTATTTCGATTAATGACAAGGCCTGACGTGAAGTCGAAATAAAATAAGTTAGCGGTTGTTTCTTTTCATCAAGAAGTATTCACAGGAATGCAGTGATCCAAGTACAATAATTACTTCGATGAATAGGATAAAAATAAAGTGAAGAATCTTGTTACGAATTTGGTTCACCAATACGCTGTGGTGTGTGTCGGTAGTCCAGTGGTAAAACTTTTGCCAGCCACATGGGAGGTGAGGGTTCAGCTCACGGCAGATGCACTGCTAAACTCTTTAGCTGATATTATGCCCAGAAAAAAGAGGAGACTGGGCATGGGGCTAGGATCCCCGTCCAGCACAAACAACAACACCACCACCACTGGAACTTTATAGCTTGAATTCAGGGATTCGAACCGCCGTAAGTCTTAAAATCTGTTTCAGCTTATAGTATTATCTCACTTGAATATCATTCCATTAGGTTACAACCTTGTCAAATTGTCTAATCGATGAAGCCATATTTGAAAGTTATGCTTGAATGTTTTTCACCTGTCATTATTAACTGTAAAATGTTCGGATCCCTTTCTACCTAGTGGAATAGGATCCATTTGAAGAAAGAACAAAAACTTACCACACTTTCATCCAGTTCACTGCTTATCGCTCATTAATTCATTATCACTTAGAATTAATTGTAAGACATGACATTTTATTAATTAAACAGAGTTAGTTTTCCCTTGTCATCACATATCGTGTTCATTTTTTTTTATCGTTTCTGATAATGCTTAATATATTCATCAGGATCATTTTTCAACAGCTATTAGTAATCAGTATTGTTACCTTCAGCCTAATTTATGTTTGCATAATTTATCCTCATCCATTATCTTAAAATTAACAGAATGCTAAGAATGCAAGAACAGGTGCAAAGGCTAAATGAAGTGGAAAGAGGAGAATGTAAAAATAAGTATGAACGTGTATCTCTTCACAAAGGTGATAAGGAGTAAGCGCTTAAGTGGTTATGCTTAAACGAATATGCTGTTTGGTTAAACGATGACATAAATAACATAAAAATGACAACAACAACAAAAAATTGACAACTGAAAACTGTAAGCCATGTGTTGTCTTTTTAATTTTCAGTGTGTACTCAAGCGTTTAAGGTGAAAATCATGTTACACCTGCCACACACTTAAGTTCAGTGTATTACAACATCACGTGTGCCTGAACACAGGTTATAATTTTTCCTAATTTTATGTGATTCAGTATAGTGCCTTTAGACAGTGAATAATCTTTGAAAATAGTGTCACATAGTTTTTCACTCTTACGAGTTCTCCTAAAATTGTACATATCATCACATAATCTACGCTTTCTGTGAAGTTATTCATTATTATTTCCTTGGGTTCTCGGTGGGATAAGGGCTTCGGTAGCACGGTTCCATTTCACACTGCTCTCCGTAGTACTTCCATTCCATCTACTCTCATGGATTGTTATCATTCCTACGCTGTATCTTCTGATTTCTTTGGTAATCTGAGTAGTCTCTTAATCTTTGAACCTTGTGCAGATATTCCATGTCCCCATGCTTATTTTCGACCTAATCAAAAGAAAACACATATGCTAACTGGCTTCCCGAAGGCTTTCACTCTAAAGAAGAATAAATTTGTTTGTTTTTTAAATATTTTTCCCGTGCTTCTAAGTTTCTGTAGCTACTGGATTTATATTTCCTAAGATAGGATCCCTAGCTGTACACCCAACCTTCCCTCTTTTTCCGGGCTTAGAAGTGGCTAGTAAACTAGACGAGGTTTTCGCTGAGGTTACTGATTGTCTATCTCTGCTCACTTACATCTGGATTTTGCACCAGGAACTAGACATTTTTAACTTCTAAGATTGGTGATTTAATACTAGGCTTCAATCAGGAAAGTATGCCATACTGATTACTTGTGAATCTACTAATTATTTCGTGTCCTTTCGTTCTTTTTTATTCCTTTACGTTCCCAGTAGAACATAGGGCTTCAAGCTATAGCTTTGAAGTTTCGGTTGCAGTGGTATTTATTTTTACGAGATGGGTTTGCTAGCCTCATGCCCAACCTTCCCTCTTTACCAGCCTTATTACTGACTTAGCGAGGTTTGGGATTGCGTCGGTTGGGGATCCAACCCCGGACCGCCTGGGTGGTTGGCGAGCATTCTACCCCTGTGCCACCAACTCCAAAGCCTAATTTTAATTTTTTTTGGCTACTGAAACAGTTAAAGTAGAGTTATCACCTCTAAACTATTCGCCCCCCCCCATCCAGTATCAACAAATGAAGATGAACCTCCATTTTAATAAAGCTGTACGATGGCTAGTGAACGCTTCTGAATGAATCGCATAGAAAGAACCATGCAGATTCTTGAAATTTCAGAATTATATTGCCCAACCACTTATACGCAAATGTCAATTCGTCAATTTCTTGAGTACTGAAGGAAAATAAAATTAGGTAGGTTTCAGTAAATCACTCCTCTTTTTCTTCAATCTAACAAATAAATTCAGTATCATCCGTCGTTAAGATATTTTTTTTAAAAAAAGGTTGATTTTAATACGACAAAATCCAAAAATTCTGTATGCACTTTAAACTGACGAAACACGAAATGTTTTTTTCGAAATTCATTTATATATTGCGCAACATGGTCATCGACTAGAGAGAGTGTGTTAATTTCACCTAATTAATTGTTTATCTGACAGATAACTTGATTTTACACTTTCACAGTAAAAATAAAACGAAGGATATGCAGTATATGCAGTGATTGCATATTACTTATTATTATTATCATTATAAAAATAGATTATTAGTACTTCAAAGTGCACGAAGTATGAAAATAATACATATCGCAAGATACTGATGATCCTGGTGACAAAAGTACACACACATATATCAAATGTACATTTTCACACTAGCAGTAGTAACAATAATAATTATAATTATTATTATTTGACGGTTGAACACCTAATTAATAACAAAACTATAGGTCCACATTCATTTAATAAATGGTGTTTTTTTTTTACTAGTGAAAATGATGATATTAGTGAATCTAACAGTGAATCACTAATCCCTGCTAAGCTTCGTTGACTACTGCTTGAACACAGAAGAAGTGGAGGTATGCACAACTAACCACCACCACCTATATTGTTGGTGATCACATTGTAAACTTGACTGATAGAATGACAGTCTCTACCAAACAAAGGACTAGACGCGTGAAACTTGCCAATTACTGCCTAGTGTTCAAAGTATCTAATATGGTCTCACAGTTGAGAGCCCGAATAGCTGGATGATAACGTCTCTGACTGCACTACTGGACGATGCGAGTTTTAATCTTAAAGGAGACATGAGTACCTTCAGGGTTGTAGACAGGCCTTGCTGATTGATGAGTGCCAACAAGCACGAAACCTAGGTCCATGGCTTCCTGCTGAATGCCTCGACCATCTAATAACAACAACAGGGAAGGAATTATATATATATATATATATTCAACACCATCTGGACTGAATGATCTGAAACATTTAAGGAGAATTCTAGTGTAATTCAACAAATTCTATAGGTGATTAGTTTGAGGATGTATATCAGATGAAAGGAGGTTGATCGTAGATCATAATGACAATAGAGCATTTGGAAATATCTGGAGAGGGACAGAGATGAAGTAGCGTAAATAACAGCTCCTCTTATATACCTAAGAATTTTTGGTTGAACACGGACTAAGTGTCAATCATCAAGACAATTTGGTCAATCAGAAAATCTCAACTGTTGTCCTCGAACATGAATCTTTACACAGAGGCAAACGAGCTGGTCAATATGAAGATGTAGTATGTGGTTATAACTAATTATAATAATGACATTGCAAGTAATGTAAGCCCAAGCATTTGTACTCATACGTGTTGAATCAGATGCTCAATAGAAACTCCTGTGGGACTGGTATTTACCAAATTTGTCAGTTGTACATTCTCATTTGGGATTTTTTTTAAAGGCTCAAAAAAACAACTGTGAGGTTTACTGATGAATCCAAAGTCGCTTAACTGCATTTCACCTTCATACTATAACGTGACCGCTTTCTAGTACCACTGATAGAATTTCATCCTTGCCTAGGACTAACTAACACTGTACATCTTTTCAGTTGATGAGGATTGTAATAATACACTTTTAAGTGGTTTCTAAACCTCACCTAGTTTACTAGTTCGCTAGTTTTTTATCCGGTACTAAGCCCGGGAAAAAAGGGAAAGCTGGGCGTGAGGTTAGTAACCCTATCCGGGAAAGAAACTTCAAAGCACAAGCATCTCCAGCAGGCTGAAGACTCTTATCAACAACTGCCTACTTCTCTCTCCATTGTTAACAAGAAACTCTGGGAAAGAACCAAGCACGAATCTATTGCACAACAAGTATGCTGCAGAGAATGTAGGTGGATTGGACACATGCTGAGGAGATGACTGAATGACGAAGCACACCAGGCTTTAGCTCGAGTGGATCCCGAATGGGAAACGACCAGTGGGGCTTCCGAGGAGATTATGTGAGGAGGAGATAAGGGCCTATAGGCAGTCGTGGGGTCATCTAAAGAAGACCACAGAGAATACGAAGAAATGGAGAGGTTCCACTCGGGACCCAAAAGAATGATAATAACAATAAGTGGTTACTAGAATACTTTTTATAAAGACAATTTTTGTAGCTGATGCTTACCAGGAATATTCCTTTGCTAAATCATAAGATGAAATAGAAAGCGGCTATTAATTTGGTACTATATAAATAGTTTATTTCATATTGAATTCCTATCTTCCCTTTCACATTTTACTTCTCTGTATGTATACATTTATAATAGCAAGTAGAAGGCATTGCGTGTTAAATATGCATTTTAAAAACCTTAAGAAGTTGAATATCTATAACTCCGTTCTCATGGAATCATTTCTTCACTTCTATTCCATTTTGCTTTTTATCACTATTCTTGAAAATAACGTACCATTAAACAAGTAAACGTTTGATAAAAATGCAATGATACCACAACTATCGTCTATGAACTAGGCTAAACTATTTTCAGTATGTGAACAAATGCTCTGGTTGAGAAGGGTGGGGCAGCTGTGCAATTTTTTTTCCTTCACGTTCCCCAGTGGAACATAGGGCTTCAAGCTAGTGGCTTGAAGTTTCTGTAGCAGTGTTTATTTTACAGGATGGGGTTGCTAGCCTCATGCCCAACCTTTCCTCTTCACCAGCATTACTTCTGGCTTAGCGAGGTAAAGGAGTGCGTCGACCGGGGATCGAACCCCGGACCATGTGCATGGTCGGTGAGCGTCGTAACCGCTAGGCCACCGACATACCTGCACAATAAAATAGTATAATGGATGAAGAAATGTAGAGTTATGCTATGAAACTAAGCTTTATTCATTATATTCTGCGTCATAAAAGCTGTGAATTATAGTCTGTTCAGTGTTTACCTTTCGGCAACTCAACTAAAAATTAGGACCTGGTCAACACACAGAGTTCTTGTAGTGTACTTGGCAGAGAACCAAGTATTTGAAAAAATTACAGTAAAAATTATTATATTATCAATGATAGCACCGAGAACTACAAGTGGTAAGGTCCCTTTGGTGTTAATAAGCGAAATGTACTGAGAAAACCATAGATTAAAACAATACCAAGAGATTTTTTTCTCCAACCAACTTAACAACTGTCTGAGCCATTGGGTAGAGGCAGCTAAGTAGATGAGAATCGAAATAGTAGGAGATCTGATTGAGTGGCTCAATAGTAATACTTATCTGAAGAAAGTCCTAATGTCTGTACACTGAGTGTCATCCAAAGCCATATTTTCAAGTATTGGTTTGTAGGGACTTTGTTTGATTGGTTGGAGAATTTTACCATGAGCTGACATCAGTTAGAAAACCACTGGAAAACATTCAGGGAGTACTGGACAGCCGTTTCGTCCTAGTTTGGGACTCTTCAGCAGTACGCACCCACCCATTGGGGTTTGAACCCAGGACCTTCTGGTTACAAGGCGAGCTCGTAGACTGTTAAGCCACTGGGACCCAATCCAATGGCCGGCCCATGAATTCTAACTTCTGCCAATTCATGACTAGCCCTATTCAAGCAGTTAACCTGGGATTCTAGTGGGAAGCCGTGACCAGTAGGCTGCAGCAAGTTGAAGGTGAGTCAGTAACTCATCGTAGAAGACATTGCAAAGTGGTCGCACTATACCGTGAATTGGCAGAAGCTAGAATTCGTGGGCTGGCCACTGGATCGGGTCCCAGTGGCTGAATGGTCTACGAACTAGTTCGCCTTGTAATAATATTCAATCGATTTCTATTGCTGGATAGCAAGACTGTGTTCAAGATAACACAAATAGTCTACAGGTAGCTTAATTCTGTCCAGACGTTGTCACAAATGTGAACAAAAAAGCTGTAACAAGACACTGGTGCTGTGTAACTTAGTGTCACATAGTTAGGCTATAGTGGTAAAAAGTGTTACTTAAACTCAATATCATATCTGAATTTATTCTTCAATAAAATGTTTTTATGATCTTGAAGAAATAAAACACTTCCTTGAAAGACTTGAAATTATCCTTCACTGAGACCAAAGATTGTACAACGAATTCACTCAGATTTCTTAGGTGTTAATTCTTATGATACTTAACTTCGCGATATCCTACTTTTTGACTTCTGTTACCCATTCAAAAGTACAATCATACAATGCGATACAGTAAACTGTATTGTGTATTATTTTGCCCTTTTCATCTGAATCTATCTTGAAACACTCATGTACTTTTTAGTGAAGACTCCCACAGATCAAAAAACTTTTTAATAATTTTCAAATACTCGTGTATAGAGCATGCAGGTGATAAATAAACTCGACTGGATTTCAAAATGGCTATTTTTCCTCTTGTCTATATTTAATTCGCTGTAACTAGTGTGACTAGTGTTACTATTATCACCAACCTACTGATGCATGTTATAATGAACTCACCAGTGTGCCGCTAAGCAATTAAAATAGTCATGTGGAGATCACTTGATATTTTTTGTTACTAGGTGGAAGAATACACAACACCTGGTAGAATAATATATGATACATATATATGGTATAACTTCATATATTTGCATGAAAATGCGTTGTTTAAAGACTGAATTAGAATTCCTGCTGTTGCGTTTGCTGTTACTGTTATCAAGTTTAAAGTAAGAAGTGTGATTCACTAAAACAAAACACCTACTCTGTTTATAAGGGTGAATAAAAGAAAGAAATATTTGATACAAAGAGATACACAGGAGGAAAAAAGAAAGTGACACGTGTAGAAAAAATATTCTGTCACAGGTAAAATGCATCGGATCATGGATAATTAATTCTATCTATTTCATTTTTCGACGGTTTATAAAAAATAATGATAAGGGTCTTCAATTCATTTTCGGATGGAAATACACATTCCGACATGCTGTCCATTCAGCTTATGAATCAGATTATATAGTTTTATTACAGAAACCTAGGTGTATGAAAGTAAGTGGACCCATGCTTTGAGATGGTTCATTCTTGAGTGCAACAACTGTCATTGATTTTAGCCGGCTACAAGCTAGTCTCAGTCGGCCTCATAGCGGCAGAATGTTCGCCAACCACACAGGTGGTCCGGGGTTCGATCCCCGGTTGACGCACTCCCAAACCTAGGTAAGTCAGTAATAAGACTGGTAAAGAGGGAAGGTTGGGCATGAGGCTAGCAACCCCATCTCGTAAAAATACATACCACTGCAACCGAAACTTCAAAACTCCAGCTTGAATTTGTTTTCATTGTCGTAAGTGAACTATTTTCTCTCTAGTAAATGTACAATGAATAGTGCAAGTAGGTATTTGATGTATCACAATTCCTGAAAACTATATTCACCATACTAGCTCAGCTGCAAGTTTCATCAAATTAAATAGCGATTATAACAGGAGATTGGAATTTAGTCATAGTCTTATAATTTACCTTTTTGGCTGAATGTAAGGCAATGTGAGTCAGTGTAATTAACTGGAAAATATTTCGAATACAATTCACTGTTAGTAATTCATACAGCACGACTGTGATCTATAAATTGTTTTCAATGCCTTTTAACTACTTTATATGTAATCCAACTGGAATGCAAACTGCAAGGCAAACAACAACAACAAAATGTATGTTTTTTTTAAAAGAAAAATATTAAAAATCTACTCACCAGTATGTTCATATTTATGTCTAGATAGCGAACTATGCTTGGAAAATACTTTTTGACATTGATCACAGGAATAAATCGTTCCGTTATTCGCAGCATCACTGCAACCACTGCTATCACCCTCCATCCCACCATCACCACCGCCACCGCAGAGGCCATCGTTGACACTTTCATGAAAACCACGTTGCCTTAATTCTTGTCTGCTTAAACTCTCCGTAATACTGAAATCTTCCAAATGACTATTGTTATCATTGCCATCCATGGAATATTCAACAATTCCATTGTCATTGTCCATTTTGTCGTCATTTTGTTCTTTAAACTTTTTTGGTAGACTTTCCGTCAGCTAATAAATATTTACAAAGGAAGTTGATCAAACAGTCATGAGTAAGTAGATAGTGGCAAATAACAGTGGAGAATAAATTGTCAACAATACACCCTAATTTCTAGAGAAATACGGCAAGGAAAATAACGAAAGCTATTCAGCATAGGATAAAGTATCTGCAGTTAACTGCTTGCATAAATTCAAGTTTCTGTCACACTAAAAGTTAATCATATGGTTTCAAGGCACATCTGTTGTCCTACAAACAGCCTTCAAATTCCTATTCACCGGGACACTGTCTTTCTTCAGACAAAATACGAGGGAACAACAAATAAATATGGGTAAAACAGCGGGTTTAATAAATTTCAAAAGTTAGCATATGAATTTATATATATATTCTTTATCTTATTGTCATCAGGAGCAGCAGGATTTTAATTATTATTTTATCATAGTGTATTTTAATGACTTCAGAAACACGTTTTGTCGCTAAACTCCTCATTCTTTACAACCGTCTCGAGAATATTATTGATGCTAAGGTGGAAGACGTTCAGCAAAACCCAGTCAGGCTATCTAGTTTTTCTATATTAATTATGCTTGGGAACAATGAGATTTTCGAATTTTTTTAATAAAATTTTAAAGGGATATTCCAAGAGTCTACAAGACAATACTGACTTAATTTTCAAACAGTTTGAAACTGAATCTCACTCTCTGTATGGTGCATATTTACAGGGATTTTAACCATGGACAGAAACAAGAGGAGTCTAGCTTTCCATGCATTACATTATCCACTACATCATTCAGTAGATAGTGATGGTGAATTTATAGGTAAATATCACTTTAAGAATGAAATACACCTAGCAAATTTCACTATGCATGGGAAATAAAAACTTACTTCGATTTCAGTACTCTTTGTAAAGCCCATCTTTGCACATGCTTTCGTACTAGCTAGGGATAACGCCTTTGTAAAGCAGTCAGAGTCCTCAGGGAAATAATAATGACGTTTATCATTCTCATTATGACCGATGTTATTATTATTATTAGTAGTAGTAGTGTTACGCATAAGGTTTTTATCAAAGACACTGTTGCTTAGTCTGTTGGGTGATGTCAGTTCAGATGGTTGGAGTAAATTATCCATAGAATATGCATATTCACATTTCTGATTAGAACAATTTCCCCCTTCACTAGAGTTTTTAGAAAGAATGGACACCGCAGCGGCCGCCGCTGCAGCAGCTGCCATAATTGTCATTGTTGATGATGTCGACCATAAATGGCTGGATGGAATGTTGTAAGCATTAGATAGATGCAAAATTGACTGGTTCAAGTCACACCCTTGTTCATCAGATGGCTGTGTGCATATCCGAGGTAAAGATAAATCCAGTGCTTTCTCTTCACTGTCCTCTGCATTCTCCGCCTCATCTCTGAATTCTTCTTGTTTATGTGCTATTAGTGGTGACTGTGTCGTCACTGTGAGTGGAGATGTTTTCGTTGAATCTGGAAGTAGAGAGTCGATTTTTTGTTGTGTAAAAGGAGAGACTGTCAATGAATTTGGACATTGTGATGACATATCATTTGTATTGAAATTGGGAAAAATTTGTCTCATCAAAAAATCTGCCGGTAATTGAGAAAATATCACAGAAGAATTGTATTGAAGTGTATTAGATGGACTTGCACATGACAGTGACAATGTCGTGCTTGTGGTCATCGTGTATGTTAGTGGACAAAAAACACTGGGACAAGAAATTGAAGGTGGTGTTGATAATAACGAAGATAAGGATAGGCATGAAGACGTTGGTGAAGAAGTAACTGAAGATGAAGGGTCCAATAAATTAGAATCTGCTTTATGATTCAATCCTTGTACTGCACAGTTTTTCTCTTCTGTTTTTAGATTCTCAGTATAATAATTCACCTGAGAACTGATTAAGTCATTGCTCGTTAACAGTGGGATCGGCAGAGGTGGAACTAAATTAATTACTGGATGTGTAGAATCAGATGAAAATGTGAATGGATCAGGGAAGCTCTTCGGCTGGTGATCTGACTGAGAGTTATGCTGTTCATTAGGGTACATATTACGAATCCACTGTTCAACACTTTCTGGTTTTAATCCAAGTGTGCCTGAAAAACCGTACGATTCCAGCATAGATTTAGGTAATTTATTCATACTGAAATTATCCCGTAAGTCATTTTGTTCCTGCTCTTCAAATGAATATATATCATTATTATTACCATCATTATTATTATTATTGTTTGTAGTATCAACAGTAGAATTGATATTGCTAATCGTGTTACTTTCACAATTGTTTATATTTCCGTTCAATCGAGTGGATAAGTCGTCAGTGAAATAGTTATCAAGTTTAATATTTTCAAGCTTTATAAAGTAGTCAGAATTATTCAGTTGACTAACTGAATCCAATATACTTGACACAGAGCTCAATTCTGTGTCTTCTCTGACAAGACTGTTGTTAGCAGCTTCAGGGTTTATATTCTGCAAATCTAATTCATTCCCTAGAATTCCAGTAGACGGTGTAAATCGATTTGCGATGTTTGAAGACATCTGTGCTGATAATGCATCGTTATTCATTGGTGTTGTTAACTGTGTTGTACTTTGGGAGATAACTCTATTGTTAATAATATTAGTATTGTTAGTAACTGTGTTAGTAGTACTGTTATTATTAATAGCAGTATGATTGTTATTATTATTATTATTATTATTGCATTTCTTACTTGACATATGACTTGAATACGATCCAGAATGACTGAAACGTTTACCACAATGAGAACACATAAATGGTTTTTCCCCACTGTGTATCCGTTCATGTTCTTTTAAGTGATGTTTAAATTTAAAAGCTTTTGTACACTGCGTACAGCGAAATTTACGTAACTCATAACTTTCTGTATGACTTAATAAGTGTCTGTGTAGACGATAAATATTCGCAAAGCTTTTACCACATTGATTGCATACTGCAGTACTGTGTAGAGATGAGTTAATTCCTATGGTCGATTGTTGTTTCGTTTGATGCTGCTGCTGCTGCTTGAATGGATGATTACTGTGTACTCCTGGTGAAAGTTTATCTGATTTCGGCGGAATTGAATAATTATTTAAAAAGTTGTTTCGTTGATATTGTTCCTGTTGATGATGGACATTTGGTATTGAAGTTGAGCATAATTTAGTCTTCTGTGGCATCGGCTGAGCGGGAAACATTAAACCTGCTTCGGGTTGACATGATATACCCTCCATTCCGCCATCTAATTCTTTAGAGGTAGGTTCACACAGCGATGAAGATGATGTTGACGAAGAGGAGGTGTTCATATTTGTCGGTGATGCTGGAAGTGACAATAAATGATTTGTAATATCACTTGACATTATAGGAGTTGTTTGTCTTAAGAAATCACAAGTTCCCGATGAATAACATTTATTTGGTTGATCTGAAAAATTACCAGAAACAAATTTCAAATTATTTTCACCATCGTGAAGAGAAGTTATAGGTGAGAAGAAAAGTGAACCAAGCGATCGCAACTGAACTGCATAGTCATATAGCATTGCCTATGAATTTATGAAAGACACACAAGCAGTTATTCGAGTGATTAAGGTGTGATATTTCCATCAAGTGTGTTCCGTGTATTTTCCTCTCCCTCTTCCTCTGTCTTTCTAAATCTCCCCTTTTCAAGTTCGTCCGACATACCTTATCCTACCTCTCCACCTGGTGGAACAGGTTACAACACTTTACCTACCATTTTTAAGCCTGAGGGTAATATTGGAAATTAGCAGCAGTAATTGCGTGGACACTGTATCACGCCCCCATAAATATATATATGCAGACAACTGGCTTTTACACCCGGACAAATAAGCAGCTATCTTGGCATGTAGGACTTTTATCACTTTTATTTTGTATGTAAATCTATCCCAGTTTATTTAACCAATTACGAACCAGGTGAGACAATGACTTTTCAAGGTTTCATGTGTAATTTTCTAGCTTTTGAGGAGAGCTAACGAACTATTTTCAACCTTTTCCTCTTCTTCATATCTGGGCTAATGTACACTCACACACACACATATACACACATATATAAATATATGAACGCTGGGCTGCATATAAGCTTGAAACATTAGAATGAAAACCTCTTGTCCAATATACCTGGTGATAGCAACATACGAAGAGAGAAGTAGAGAGAGAAGAGAAAAAAAAGGAAAGGAAGGTGGTGGTGACTGGTAGAAAGGAAAATGAATGAAGACAGAGGGGTTTTATACATTCAGGTGTGAAAAAGAGATATCATGTGGATGTCCAGTCTATATTCAGCCTATGTATGTCAAATAAATTATCCAATCAGAATTCACTTCAAGATATAAGTGACTTCTTGTGCTCCTACTTTTATTCCTAGTTGTCTCGTTCATTAAAAAAATATACATATCAAATTATATCAGGTAAAAGGTAGTTGATTTAACCATTATCCAGAAGACACTTGGACAATCCTCATCTGAAAATAACACATTAAATATTTTAAGGCTTTAAGTGAACTTCCTTACTGATTGATTGTCAAACAGGCAGAATAGTTGATTTCTTTTTCAATATTATCCGTGGTTACTGTAGAAGAAGTGCTTTTCGCAAGACTAAACTCTAGTTACCTCCTTTACATACCTACCTGGGAAGCATCCTTTCAACTACAGGCGGATGGAACTGATGAGGATATGAAAGCGAGGATTGAGAAAGCAAGGCAAGCTTTCATTACTCTGAAGTTTGTGTGTAGAGGTAGATCAACAGCACTCAGCATGAAAAATAAGATGTGGATTTTCAACTCCAGTGTGAAGTCAGTCAGTGCTACTATACGGATCAGAGACTTGCACTATGCGTCATACAGAGCATCTCAAACAAACTACAGACCTTCATTAACAGTTGTCTTCGCTCAATACTCAAGATCAGATGGCCAGCTGGAAAAGATCAGCAACAGAGATCTCTGGCAATGAGCGAACCAACACAGCAGGAACCGATTGTGAAACAAATAGGCAGGAAGAAATGGAGATGGATTGGCTGGACATACTCTGAGGAAACCATCAAGTGACATCACACCACAGGCCATTGCTCGAGCGGAACGCGAAAGGGAAGCGGCGAGTTGGTCGTCAGTGTGAGGGTGACTTGGAGGAGGTCATGTGAAGAGGAGATGAAAACGTGTGGGCAGACTTGGAGCCAGATGAAGACTCTATCAGAGAACCAAACGCAATGGAGACGCACGGCTGAAGCCCTATGTTCCTCTAGGAATTAAAGAAAACAATAATTATGATAATATAATAATAATAATAAACTCTACTATATTACCATTCTGTGTAGAATTCTGTTGGCTGTGGGTTTCTAACTTCAGAAAGTGCAGAAATCATCAAACTTATTCATCATCGTATCTAAACTGTTATATTGAGGAAATTATTTGTTTTCGTTCAGAAAACTTATTTTACTAGCTTAATTAATACTAACCGCAATTCTGATGATTGTATGAATTAGCTGTAAATGAATTCGACTCCAGGGTATTGGTTACTCCTACAGAAATTTGTTAACAGCTGACAATAGTTAGCGCCAAATATAATTATATCTAGTAAACAGAGGGAATTCACTGGTTTGATCAGTAACTGACAAAATTTTGAGAATCAGAAAGCACTAGACAGTCGTTTGATCATTGTTTGGAGCTCTTTACCAGTATGCAGTCATAACCCCATAGTGGTGGTGATGGTGGCCGGTCGATCTCGTCAACTTCAACGCATAAGGCGAACCCGTTGATCTTACAGCTTTCTACATATTTGCTTTCCAAGTAGAACATAGACATTTCAGCCTCAGCTTTGAAGTCTCAGTAGTAGCAGAGTTATTGTTTTACTCAGTGGGGTGATCTTGTGTCCAACCTTCCCTTTTTTTACAGGGCTGACTACTTGCTGGTGTCTAGGAGTGCGTCGGCCAGAGATCGAACCCCACACCAGTCAGCTAACGGAACGAAATCGAATGGCTCATGAATTCTAACTTATGCTAATCCGCGACATATAGTGCAATCGTTATCGGCTGCTATTTTCTCTTCATACCTGACTTGGTTGACCACATTGTTGATGATTGCTCAGTCGTACTCTGGAAACTCCATCCTGTAGTTGGTTATAAGTAGTTGTGAACTTTTCACTCCAATTAATTAATTTATGAACAGCTCTTTTTAGCCTGATACTGAATAATTTATCCACTGAAGCTTTGAGTAATAAGAAACCTTAAGTGTACAATAGTGAGAAGAGTTCACTTTTATTACCACAAGAAAACTATGCAGGAAAATTAATTGACACAATCTGTATATCTAAGCTTATGGAGAAGCTGAAGTTTTTACGAGTTGATCACGGACTGATATCAGTTAGAGAACTATTGAAAACCAGGGAGTACTGGACAGCTGTTTCAGAAATCAGTCCGTGATCAACTCGTAAAAACATAACTAACCCTTACAAACCAAAAATATAGAAAATTAATCTGATGCTCTCTAGTGACTTGCTGCTACAGGATGGAGTTTCCTGGAGTTAGTTCTAGTGAGAAGTCGTGACCAGTGAGGTCCAATTAGAAGTCACGTGTGTGGATGGATGACCCACCAACGGCAATGGTTGGTGTCGCGCTAAATCACGAATTGGTAGAAGTTAGAATTCATGGGTTGGCCATTGAATCGGGTCCCAGTGGCTGAATGGTATACGAGCTAGCTTGCCTTGTAACCGGAAGGTCCTGGGTTCGAACCCCAGTGGGTGCGTACTGCCGATGATTCCCAAACTGGGATGAAACAGCAGCTGTCCAGTACTCCAGTGCTTGTTTTCAATGGTTCTCTAACTGATATCAGTCCGTGATCAACTCGTAAAAACATAACAAACCCTTACAAACCAAAACTATAGAAGCTGAAGTTGACTGACTGCATTACCTGAAATGAATACATCTCAACTAAAGTGGTGGTATAAATTTCATCCTATTTATTTATTGTGGCGCATTGATGATGACAGTTATAATTCATGTCGGTTATTTCTCTCTGTCTCTCACCTCACTACCATTAAGTAAACAAGTTCTAAGAGTAGGTAGTTCAATAAAAGTATTTATTATTATTATTACTATCATACTTTATGAATTAACCTTTGCGTGAATTAGACCTATAGTTAGCCTATACTGAATTCACATAATAAATCAAAATGCTTGACCTTTACATTCACATATCTTTATTTCAATGTGTGTGTATACACTATTATTCGTAGAAAGTCTCCATGCACAGGTATGTGAAATTAAAAATCTTTGTGTCAAGGTGAAACAGAATAACACACATTTGACATTTAAGAAAAATAAATAATGAGTAAATAAATAACTACATTCAAACGAAATTAATAAAATAAAATAGAATACTGTGTCGGTCTACTAATGACTACTGAATTGGCCATGAAACAGTTATCGGTTTGGTCACGAAGCTGACAATAGTTACATGACCGCTGAAAAAATAACCAAGATGCACTGGACAGAGCTATTTCGTTCTATTATTAGGGATTCAAACTGGGGACCACTCGGGGAGCTTGGAGACAATTCAGCCACTGAGACACGATCCAATGGACCCTGTAGGCGAGTACTGATGAAGAGTCCCGAACTGGGATGAAACAGGCTGTCCAGTAATTGGTAATTTCCCAGCGGCTCTTCAACTGATATCAGCTAATGATCAAACCACCTACAAGCAATCAGATCTGGGTGCACCAACACTCGATATTTAAACACTTCTAATTAATTACTTATCAAAGTATCCTTACTAGCTTTCAGAAAGTGATGTAAAATTAAAATGCAGTCAAGAGCAATCAAAGTGTGGTAGCTCAGCCACTATTTCATATCCAGTAGTTACCAGACTTTTCATTTTAACTGTAGTAATCGTCACCTTTTTTCTCTAAACTAATGTATTAATGATTAGCACACTACTGAATTAAAAAGGAAAGGAAATAAGTCGCTCAGTGAACAAAAATACTATTAAAGTCTGTTAAAAAATATGTGGTGTTCATACTAGTACTGAAAGGCATGATGTGGATGCTGACTTCATACATATAGTTTAAAAAAAGTCTGAGTAACAATGTCTCTTTTGTATGTCTAATTAATGTATAGTGGTGGCCACGTTACAAACTTCATTGATAGAATTCCGTCTCCACCAAACAAAGGATTAGACACACTACACTAGTCACTGACTAGTGTCTAATCAAAGTATACAGGAGGTCAGTCGTGAGCCCGAATAGCTCAGTGGTAACGACCCTGACTGCAGCACTGGGTGACGCAGGTTCGAAGCTCAGAAGGGATCTGAGTTCCTTCAAGGTTTCTGGTGCGCCCTGCTCAGGACACCTAGGTCTCCCAAGGCATCCTGCAGACTGCCTCAAACCACCTATTGGTGTAAAGTTGGTTGACTGCCTGCGCCTTTTCTAGTTAGTTAGTTTAAAATAAAGTTAAGATATTCAAAAGACTGTAACTTCTTCGTTAAGCTTCATGTATCCAAAAAAAAACA